TTCTTCTATTTCTGAAAATACTTTTTCAGATTACAAATTTCGTTTTCTTATTTTTAAGTTCAATTAGTTTATTAATGTTATATATAACGAAATAAAGATAATTTAGTTAAAGAAGAATTGATAATGAAAAGAAATTAGATTAAAATAAACAAGTAAATTAGATTGTTATTAATTTACCATCAATAAAAATACATTCTCCAAGACTATCAATTGCTATCATATCTCCACTATCATATCTAATTAAAATATTATCTGTACTTACAATAAATGAAAATTTAGATTTACCCATTGGAGTGTATACATCTTTATTATGTGTTTCTTTATGAACAAAATCATTTACATCTTTCCATTTTAAATGAGGATTACGTTCAACACGAGAGAGAATTCCTTTTGAAATATCGAATTTAAATTCTTGATTATTTTGATAAACAAGACAATATGATGAAAACAAATGAATTGCCAATGTTTTATCATTATTCCAAAAACAAAGAATAGGAGTTTCATATTGAATTAATCCACACATCCAAAACTCTGATAAAATATAAATTGTATTATGTTGCATAATTTCAGCAATTTGAGATATTTTAGGTAAATAATTTTTCATTGAAAATTGTCTAATTTGACTTAAAGAGAGATTAGATTCAATCTAAGTTATTAAACATCTATTTTAAATTCATTTCTTATACTAAAAAATTTAATATCAAACTTCATCATGTAATTCTACTAATGAATCTACAATTTTTGCTGTTAATGAAATATCATCTCTAATGGTGTTAATTTCTCCTGTTGTTTGTTCTTGATTTTTTTCAAGAGATAATTCAATATTTTCTGTTGCTGATTTAAATGTTGTTTGAGTTACTGATTCTAATTGTTTAACTTGTTCTACAGTTTTACAAAGAATTTCAAAATTATTTCTTTCAGTTGTAATAATTTCATTTTGAATTGAACAGCTGAGTCCTTTATCTTGTGTTGTTCCTTGTAACTTCTATTTTTTTAAATCATTATTTCTTCTTATTAATTCTTTATAACACAATTATCCACAAACCCTTACCTCTTCTGTTAATTCTGTTATTCTAACCTCAACTCTATCTATACTACTTTCTACTTCTTCAATTTGTTTGAGAATTTCTTCATATGAAACACTCATTTAAATAAAAAAAAGAATAGATCTATTATTTCTTTCTTTTTTAGCTCATTTTATTTTTCTTCTTTTCTAAAAACCATTTTATTATTTTTTATGTTATTCCAAATATAGAAAGAATCAAAAGTAATCAAAATGAAATCATATAATTATTGATTTGGTATAATATATTATTCTTGGTTAATGAAAATAAATAAATATATTATAAGGTATCATTTATATAAAGATTTCTCAACATATTAAGAATTAATAATTTTTAGATTCTTCTATTTAGTTCATTAAACATATCTTGAGATAAAAAGTTATACTAAATAATCATCTGTAGTACTATCTTCTTCATTTATAATTTTTTTATGTTAAAACTATCTGTTCTTCTTTGCTATTTATAATTTCTTGATAAATTCTATTCTATCATTATTACTCCTTTCCATTGAACTACCAATACTCAAAATAATACAAATATATAGATAATATTGTTCTAACTCATAAATAAAATATCCTCATCTAAGAAAAGTATTCAATTTCCTTCTTTTTAACTGATATTAAACTCTGATCTTTTAAAAGAAAAAACAATAAAATCTTTCATTTTCTATTACAACCATTTACACTCTTTAGTTTATACAATTTCTTATTATTTTAGAGTTAAATTTATTGAAACTCTTGTTAACTAATAACTTAAAGAAGATTATTTTTACTTTTAAAATACAACAAAGTCTTATAAAAGTAAAAAAGAAATTGTTTGAATAGACAAAATGGTTAAATCAAATAAATCATAATGAAGTTATTTTATCATAAGTCTTTAAGAACAAAAATAGAAATAACAAAAATTCAATCATTTTTTTGGTTTTAATTCTGTTTTTTTCTTCAATGCAGCTAAAATTGTTATGTATTACAATAAGAAGTAAAAGAAGAGAAGAACAAACTTTTTACTGCTGCTTTAACTTTTAGTCTTGGGGTATCATCTACAAGATAAGTGTCAAGATTTAATGATTCTGGAAGTATTATATTTCTGATTGTGTTTCCTCTTACTGTTGATTGGTCTAGGTCAATTGGATTTTTTCCTTTTTGTGTCATTTTTACAACTTTTAGATGGACGTTCATGTAGTTATCAACACCAACAATTGTTCCAGTGAGTATCACCCCACTCTTTAATTCAATAGTAACGACTTCGTTTGTTAGCCTCATCAAAAATCTTACTAATTTCATGTTATAAGAAATGATCTTTTTGAGTTCTATTTGAAGATGGAATATCCAAACTACCCATTTTTTCCTTTTTCTGACCCCAATTATTTATCCTATTATCAAATGGGATATCTTCAACCATTCCAACTCTCTCAACCACCACCACCTCCACCACCTCCTGCTCCAGATAAATCTATGCAACAAGTAGCTAATCCTCATGAAGATAAAAAGACATTGTATGTTGGGAATTTACTTCCTGGAATGGCAGAGGAATTAAGAGGATTGTTTGAAGCATATGGAAGTATTGAAAGTATTAATCAACCAAAAGGTAAAAATTTTATGTTTATTCACTTCAGTAAGGAAGAAAGTGCTAAAGAGGCAAAAGAAGAGTTAAATGGAACAACATATGGAGGCACAACACTGAAAATAGGATATGGAAAAGCAGAAACAGGTACTACATTTACACAAACCAATCAAAACAAAACAGATTACCAAACAGAAACAAACGCACAAGAAAATGAAATAATTTATCAACACCTTAATCAAATATTAAAAGATGAAGAAAAAGAAGTAAATCAAATTAATCAACCAAAAGAAAATAATAAAAAAGGACATCGTACAAAAGAATATGAAGTTAATAGAGTATTATGGGTTGGAGGATTAAATAATAATGAAATGAAAATATTCTCTAAATTAACTCAATATGGACCAGTTGATAGAATTAGAATTGGGATAAATAATAGATGTGCATTAATTGAATTTAAAAATATTGAAGATGCAAAAAGAGCAATTAATGAAATGATACATGTATTATTTGATGAAGATAAAGTAAAAATAAGATATGAAAAAGATCTTAATTTCCAAAGCAAAACTTGGTTCCCTGATATGCCTAGTCATTTTATTACTAAAGAAAATGAACCAATTAAACCATTATCAATTGAAGAAGAGAAAATGATTGATGAAAAAAT